CTCTCTTGTTGTCTTATAGCGCTTTTAGCATCACTAGCAGTACCTATACAACACATGCTAGTGACCCCAGGCAGCACCACGGGGAGGTAGCGCTATACTGCTGCCCACCCTAAAAAGAAAGCAGTAATTTATGAGGTAATAGAATCTATTTTGGTTACCTTAATCCATCAAAAAAGAGTCCAGGAAGATCAATTAGATGTTATAGATGCTGAAAACGAAACATAACACTCTGTTAAAATACATTAACCCACGTAGCTAAGAATATGTACTTTTGGTATAATCCGGCTAAGGATGCATATATGGGTACGTATGGGTCACCTTATGAGTGCACTCATTGTATAACGTGAGCATAAATGGGGTCACCTGTATGAAGAACATGTATGAATTGGGTCCCCTATAATGAAGAACATGTATGAATTGGGTCCCCTATAATGAAGAACATGTATGAATTGGGTCACCTATATGAAGAACATGTATAAATTGGGCCACCTGTATTAAGAAGAAGTATATTAAAAACATGGTGTACTATTTTCAAATTATGAAACTAATTGTGCTAGTAACAATACACACTCACACTTACGCAACGCAAAATGAAAATTTCGCTAATTTCGTGTCAACTCTAAAGCGTTATTTGCATCAAATCATCAGATTACCCACACAGTTTTGACGTGACGTTGATCATAAACCTACAATGAGAGTTATGGACTTATTTTGAAAGCTGTGGCAAACACTTAAACAACTGATCTTCAGTCAAAGCCACAGGATCGAGAAAGAGATTATAATTAGAATGAGAATTAGGAAGCTACCAAATCAGCTAGGATATGTTCTTCTCTCTCCTCCAGTCTATTTGCTCCTCTCCTTTCTCCTCTCCCCATCGAAAGACAACTAGTAATAAAGGAATGATCCGATTGTTCTTGCATGCTTGGAAAAGCCAATAGAGTGATCGAATGACAAACGCGGTTGAAAGAAAGTAAAAGTGGTGACCATGAGACGTTAGAATCTTACACTATGTGACTACAAGAACATACCATATAGCAATTTTTTTCAGGATAACAATTTTTATGAATTTCACATATTTTTCAAGGTTCGCGAAATTAAATACGGTACAAGATGGCAGAATAGTGGAGATTTGCGAAAATTAATTCCACAAACTTACGAATACGAGTCATTCACAAAATTATTATCCTCAGAAAAAAACGTTATACAGTACTGATAATATTATGTAGACGTGTACGTATATAAACATATCAAGAACAAGATTGTAGAACATTGAGGGACAGTATCAACTAGCACGCGCACAAACCTAGAAACAGTTTTATGTCATAATGTTTAGGACGCTACAAAATGTGTAATAAAATGAGGGTTTGACATTGGTTGTATTATCAAGAACAAGAATGTAAAACATTGAGGGACTCTGTCAACTAGTCATGGGCACACACAGAATCAGTAAGGGAGTATTCCCCAATAGCACCTATCACGCGCAAAAACTTAGAAACAGTTTTATGTCATGTTTAGGACGGTAAAATCTAACAAAATGTGTAATAAAATGATGGTTACACATCGGTTGTATTATCAAGAACAACAATGTAAAACACTGTCAACTTGTCATTGGCGCATAGATACAGAATCAGTAAAGGAGTATTCCCCAATAGCACCTATCACGCACACAAAC